TTTCCACGTATTTAGAGTTTTGGTTTCAGTAATATTTTATAGTTTTTAGCATAATGGTCTTGCATATCACATATTTATTTATTCCTAAGTATTGATTGTTCTTTGCTATTACTACAAAATGACTTATTTTCAATATCCATTTTAAAATTATGTGCTGGGAGTATATAGACATTTCACTGATTTTTGTCTAATGTTGTTATATCTTGTGGCCTTGCTAAATTTACTTATATATTCTAGTTGTTACTTTGTAGATGGGATATGCTATGTAAACAAGCAGGTTGTGAATAAAATTTATTTTTATTCTTCCTTTCCAATTTGAAATAACCTTTATTTCTTTTTCTTAGCTTATTGTACTGGCTAAGACCTCCAATACAATATTGAAGAGAAGGAGTGAGATTACATATTTTAGCCTTTTATAATCTGACACACATGGTATTTTGTTCATCTCACAGCTCAGAGAGGTCTTATTGACCAATTCTGTTCAAAATACATCTTCTTTTTATCATCTATCTCAGCATTGTGTTTAATTCCCGTATATCATTTACCATAAATTATACTTGTTTATTTCTTTGTTGTTTGTCTTTTACATTAATCCATTAGCCCCTTATGGGAAAAATGCTGTCTATCTTGATCATTGCATGCCCTGTGCATAACACAGTGGTTGTTAGTAGATACTTAGTAAATGTTTTATAGAATCAGTTGATATCGGCCGGGCTCCAGGTAATATTGGTCAGGCTTGGTGGCTCAGCCTGTAATCCCAGCACTTTGGGAGGTCAAGGCGAGTGGATTGCCTGAGCCCGCGGGTTCGAGATCAGCCCGGGCAATTTGGCAAGACCTCGTCTCTACAATAAAAATAAAAAAATTAGCCAGGCATGGTAGCACGTGCCTGTAGGTCTGGCTACTTGGAAGGGTGGGGTGGAAGGATCGCCAGAGCCCAGCAGGTTGACGCTGGGGTGGCCGTGAGTGTGCCACTGCACTTCAGCCTGGGAAACAGAGTGGGACTTCAACTCAAAAAAAAAAGAAAAAAAAATGAGTTAATATTTGTAGGATGTTCTAGCAGTTATGCAATTTATTCCTCTTCTCAGTGTTAAAATCATGGTGAAATCTAAGACAAGTATTATTTCTTGTAAGAACATTTTTATTTCTCTTTCTCCTTTTCTAACTTTTAGCAGGTTAAATTTCAAAATTTCTCATAGAAACCACTTATATTTGAGATTTTCAAAAGCTTCCAATTCATTGATATTTTATAAAAAGCAATACAACTCTTTCTACTAATTTTTGCAAAATATTGTGGTAACAAATTGGATTCATTTGCCTTTCCTGGGTGTTATATACACTAAAAAGTTAATCAATATTCAGGCAATTTGCAGTGGTCCAAATATAGAAGCAAGGTAAACACATTCCACAGTTATCTAGTAGGCAGGTATTAGGTAACTATTTTTTTATTCTTTAAAATATGAAGAAGTTGTAATGATGCAGTTGTAATGTGTGTGTGTGAATGAACTTGTTAGGCAAAGTAAGCGTATTTTCTCATTTCTATTCTACTCTGAGTAATGCTTCATTTGCTTTTTATGTAATTTAAAGCTGATGAAGGTAAATTGCTTTTAGCCTAGGACACAATGGTTGAGGATTTGTCCAAAAGGCAAAATATCTTTCTTCTTGCTGCTTTGTTTTAGCAGCTCTGTTTCAACAGCTGGTAGAAAGTAAAGCTTCAGATTATGTGTAGGCATAAGGAAAATGCAGCTTTGATTATCTTGCAGTATGCTAAATGAACTCCTTGGCTTATTCTACCCATTGACAATGGAAATTGCACTAAAGAAGTAGGTAAGGGGCAATCTCCTTTGGTCCCCTCCTACTGTGGGAGCTTTTCTGTCCTCTCAATAAATCCTGCTTTCGGGAGGGGGGGGGGAAAGGAGTAGGTAAAAACAGTCTGTGTTGAGTGTTTCGTTCATTCCACTCCCTTCTCCCCTATCGCCCCTCTTTCCTTCTTCTTCTTTCCCCCTTCCCTCTCTCCTTCCCTCCATCTCCTAAGTATCTCTCCCTCGCCATTTCTTCTTTGTGTTTTCTCCTGAGCACTATGTCTAGTCAATGTTCTTGTTACTGCAAATGTAGTAGAGAATGAAATACACACGCCATGTCCAAGTGCAGCTCACACTATAGTGGGGGAGGTAGACAATACAAAAGCAAATATGTGCATGTGATAATTTTTGGTAGTCATAAGTGCTCTAAATAAAGTATGTGGTGAGGTGTGTGTGTGTGTGTGTGTGTGTGTGTGTGTGTGTGTGTGTGTGTGTGTGTGTGAATGGATGACAGATGAGAGAGAGAGAGAAAGTATGAAAATGATTGAGGATCATGGAAGGCCCTTCAGGGAAGAAGGGGGTGAGCTTGAGGCTCAGAAGTTTGGCCTAAGTGAAGTGAGCTCAGGGAGAGCACTGCATGGTGAGGCTGGAGAAGAACATGGGTGGTTGGCTGGACTCCACAGGGTGTGGTAGGCTATGGTCAAGAGCTCCAATGGGATTCCAAGTGGTCAGAAGACAGCAGTCCGTGTGTGATGTTATTTCATTTTATCATTTAGACCTTTCTGTTTTGACCAAAATATCTAAGTTCGAATTCTTATTTTAGTTTTCTCTTCCAGAAATAGAAAAAGAAATACAGTAAGCAAAAACTGACAACACAGAAAAAAAGAACAAATTTATAATTACAAATGGAAATCTCAACAGTTATCTGTTGATAATGGATAGAATTAAGTAGACAGGCATTCAATTAGGAATCAGAAGATGGTCTTGAACAACTCTATCCAGCCAACTTGGCTTAGTTGCCTTTGTATTCTTTGATTGTTATTCTTTGAGTTGGACTCTCAACCCTGTCCCTCAGGCTAGAGTGCAGTGATGCAATCCTGGCTCACTGAGGCTCAGACTCCTAGGCACAAGCAACCCTTCCACCACTCCATTACAGCCTCCCTAGTAGCCGAGACTACAGATCCGTGCCACCACGCCTGGCTAATTTTTTGATTTTTCTGTAGAGACAAGTCTCACTAGGCTGCCTGGGCTGGTCCCTAACTCCTGGTCTCAAACGGTTCTCCCATATCGGACTCTCAAAGTGCTGGGATTGTAGGTATGAGTCACTGCACCTGCTTCTGGCCCCTTTTTATTCTTTTTATTGAAACATTCCACCCTACAAGAGAAGAATACACATTTTCTTTTAAATTTCAAATGCCTTGGAGTATTCCCCTAGATAGACAAAATTGGGAGCCCAAACCAAGTTTCAATACAATTAAAAAGTACTGATATCATACTGAATATGTTTTCTGATCACAATAGTGTTAAATAGAAATCAGTGTCTGAAAAATACCTGAAAAAAAGCCCAATACATTTGTAAATTAAACTACACACTTCTGAATGATCAAAGAAGAAATGACAAGGGAAATTAGACATTCTCTGAAATAAAAGAAAATGGACAGAGTGTGGTGTCTGACGCCTGTAATCTCAGCACTTTGAGAGGCCAGATTGAGAGGGTTGCCTGAGTCTAGGAGTTCGAGACCAGCCTGGAAAACATAGGAAGACCATGTCTATACAATAAATTTAAAAATTAGCCAGGTGTGGTGGTGTGCTCCTGTAATCCCAGCTACTTGGAAGGCTGAGGCAGCAGGGTTGCCTGAGCCCAGCAAGCCAAGGCTACGGTAGTCGTGATCCTGCCACTGGCTACTGCACTCCGGCATGGGCAACTGAGTGAGACTATGACTCAAACAACAACAACAATAAAAACAAAACAAAACAAGCAAAGACAAAGATAACTTTTACTCTTAATATGAATATGCAGTTAGGTAGGGTTTTGTCTCCTTCCTATCTGTCTGCCTCTTGAGTTTCCTCCTTCCTGGGACTGTGGGAAGATGCTGCAGTGTCTCTGTAGAAGGAGCTTGGCTGTGTTCATTCTGCTGTGGGTGATACACCCTCCTAAAGTCTGATCTTGCCTATTGAACTAGTTGTTTCAATCATTTTCTTCGGGTTTGACGGAAAGAACGTTTACCATTTTTAAAGGTCATGTTCCTGGAACTTTGGAGGAATTTATGGAGCAGTAACGACGAGTTCAAGTTACAAGATTCTTATGCTAATGTTAATGAAAATCTTGTCAAGGCTGCTTCCTTTTTCTTAGTCCTACCTGGGGAATTCTGGTCCACCTCCTCCCTACATTTTAGACTTATTTGGAGTCTTTCTTCAGTTCCCTCCTGTGACTTTTGTTTCTGCTAACAATCTTTTAATTGTCTTGAATTGTTAGAGTCTAGTATCTTTCAGTATCTTCAGTCTGGTATCAGCTTGTTCTATTCAACCTTATTCGTTCATCTAGACTTGACTGTGTTAAGATGTAAACTAGGCACTAGGTAGGAGACTTATAAATCACACAGTTAATTAGAGTGTGGCCAACATTTTGACAGAGACACGTTAGAAAGACTATGGAAACAAATATTAGTTCAACAGACATTTGTTGGCACCCTGTGCTAGACACCATGCAATAGAGTCTGTCTCCTCAGAGCAGACTTCAGAGCAAAGGTGGCTTTTGAGTCCAATGCTGAGGGTTGTATTAGGAGTTTTTGAGGTATAGAGAAGGGGGTGGTATTCTAGGCATCAAGTATTGATTGCTTAAAGGCGAGGCATGGAGTTGTGAAGGAGCAAAGAATAACCCGGCAATGTACAATCTGCCCTGGCACTAGGTACTGGTGGGATTAGGAAGTAGTGTATGTTGTGAGAGAAAGGGCTAGAGAGGTTGTAAAAGTTATTCTGTCTTTTTAGGGAATCTAGGCCTGTTTCTGTGGGCACAGTGTTTATTAGTTCCATGGTGACTCTCACCAGCACTTCCATACTACCTGTATCTCCTGTTCCTTGGGTTTTCATTTTGCTTGCTATAAGAGTCAGTGACTCCAAGTGATGATGGCCACTAGCCCTGTTTCTCATTCATTCATAGAACATGGGAGGGGGGTGTGAATAGAGAAGGGACTCTGAAACATGGAGCCAGGTATGTGATATTCTTTTACTTGTTTTTACCAGGAGGATTTCCTTCTAGGGTATATATAATTAGCTTCTTGAAATCTTTTTTTTTTAAAGATAGAGGAGAAAGATGTTGAGATATAAACACATTGCTTTGAAAACACCCTGTGGGGTACAATTTCAATTTATTGCCCACCCTGAAATTTTTTATTCTTTTCCTTTAGGTTTCTTGCTATTTAAAGATTTTTGTTTGAATGAAATTAATGAAGCTGTACCTCAGGTGAAGTTTTATGAAGAGGTAAGAAGTAACTATTTTACTGATGCTTTTATTTCAAAAGCATATCTAAACTGTACTTTGGAAAATATTAAGACTACTAAATATCTTACAAATATTTAGAAATTCATTGAAAGTAATTAGTAATGCAAGATATAGTATCAAGTTTATTACAGCATCTGTAAAAAGCTGGACATGTTATACGAGTCATATTCTTAAAGGTTTCAGAGTGCTATGGAATCAATGAGGAAGAGCTGGACTAAAATTCCAGAGAAAGGAGAACTGTCCAGAGGTGCACTGAGATTACTGGATATTTTACTTTTTGTGGAAGTGTGCTAATTCTGGAGATCTGAGCTGGGACAGAGTTGAAAGGAAACTAGCCAAGGTTTTCTGGTCACACTGGAGTAACAAATTGGATATTTGGTAGGAGGAGTCGGCGAGGATAGGTCACTCACATACACAATTGATTTTCCCCACAAGACATTTGGTGAAATTCGAGGTGGGAGTGGGGGAGTGGAGATGGCCCAGAAGTTTCTAGAAGTATATTGACATCTCTTACAGCCTTACAGTGCTTAGGAAACATAGGCTTGCCTGGGACTGGAGTCTGAAAACAGAATTGGCATAGATGAAAGCCTTAGAGGGAGTGGTCTGTTGACACTGAAAAGCTACAGCAACTTTTCAGTTGGAGCAGGTATTGATTCTGGGTACAGCAGGCAAATGAGAATCTAAGCTTGGCTGCCGCTAGGAGACAAAAGAGACATAAAAGGTTTCTGGAGCTAGAGTTAAAAAAAAAAGAGAGACCCTAAATATGTCATTAGTCTCCCTCTCAAGACACATGCTAAGTTTTGATGCTGAGTAGAGTAAGAGGCCAAAGAGCTAAGCTGAAAACGTCTTAAGGGCAGAACTGAATCTACTGCTGAGGAAACAAAGATCTCTTATTGAACTCCATGGAGGGCCATGCTTTAGAAACAGGGTCAAGCCAGAGGCAGACTGGCTCCTATAAAGATGGCTACCCAGCCGGGCTCGGTGACTCAGCCTATAATCCCGCGCCTTTGGGAGGCTGAGGTGAGTGGATTGCCTGAGCCCGCAGGTTCGAGACCCGCCTGGGCAGCGAGACCTCATCTCTACAATAAATCAAAAAAATCAGCCAGGCGTGGTAGCGCATTCCTGTAATTCCGGCCACTTTGGAAGGCTGAGGCGGAAGGATCGCCGGAGCCCAGCAGGTTGAGGCTGCGGTGGCCGGGAGCGGCCACTGCACTCCAGTCTGGGTGACAGAGTGAGACTCCAACTCAAAAAAAAAAAAAAGATGGCTACCCAACCTCGCTCAACCCCTTACTGGGTGATGAGCCTCTTCCTTACCTGCTTAGCAAGCTGCAGGGGTAGCCTATTTCTGTCCTTTTTGTACAAATAAGATAACATTATATAAGTACTTCATAGTGGTCAGCATATAATAATTACTAGATGCTTTAAGAGACAGAGTCATATGACTCATAATAAGGTGATAGAAACATGCCAACAGGTGAGTTGGATATTGGAGTTAGCTGACAACTACTTTAAAATAACTATAAATAATAGCTTCAAGAAAGTAGAGAAAAAGATGGGCAAAACAGATGGAGGGATAGATAATTTCAGGATAATTTGAATTTATTATGAAGACTCGAATAGACAGTCTAGAACAGAAAGTACAATATTTGAAATTAGAACGAATGGTTAATTCAACAGCAGACTGGCTACAGTACAAGACAAAATTAATAACTAGGAAGGCAGGTTAGTAGATAATATCAAACCAAAGCACAGAGGAAGAAAGAATTGAAAAACAGATACAGATAGGAACATTTAAGACATGTGGGGCATGCGTAAAAGGACTCATACATGTAGAATTGAAGTTTTAGAAAAAGAAGAGAGAGAATAGGGTAAAAGCAATATTTAAAGAGATAACACTAACAATTTTACAAAATGATAAAAGATAGCAGCTTACAGATTCAAAAAGCTTAGGAAACCCTAAGTAGAATAAGTACAAAGGACACATATCTTTGTACATCAGTATAAGACATGGAAACTTATAAAGAAGACAGAATCTTAAAAACAGCCAGGACAAAGGGTGGCGAAGACACATTGCTTTTAAAGGAGCAAAAATTTGACTGACCATGACATCTTAAGAGAAATGATTTTTTTTAGACAATAAATGGTCATCTTTAAAGTATAGAAAGATTTAAAAATTGCCCACCTAGAATTCTATTCCCATCAAAAATTTCCTTCAAAAGTAAAGTGAAATAAACACAACTCAGACAAACAAAAATTGAGGGAATTTGTCAGTAGTGGACTTGGATGACAAGAAAGGGAGATGCTTTAGGCAAAAGGAAAATGATCCCAGATAAAGATGCAGGAAGGAATGAAGAACTTCATGAAGGGTAAATATGTATGTAAAGTGCAAATGAATATAGACTGTATAAACAATAATGTTTCTAGAACTTAAAATGTATATAGCACCAAATGCATGACAATCGCAGAAAATAGGAGAGGTAATGACATTAAGTATTTTAGGGCTTAGGATTACTGGGGAGAGTGGTATAAGTAATAATTTGCATTGGATTGTAATCAAAGATGTATATTGTAATCCCTAAGGTAACTTCTAAAAGAATAATGTGATAATCATGTGCTGTATAAAGATGTTTTAGTCAGTGATGGACCACATATATGACAGTGTCCCCATTAGATCATAAACTGTATTTTCATTGTACCTTTTCTATATTTAGATATACAAATACTTCTCATTATGTTACAGTTACCTACAGTATTCAGTACAGTCACAAGCCATACATGGTTGTAGCCTAGGAGCAACAGGCTACACTCTATAGCCTAGGTGTGTAGTAGACTGTACCTTTTAGGTTTATGTAAGTACACTCTGATTTTTGCACGATGACAAAATTGCCTAATGACACTTTTCTTAGAACATCTCCTTGCCATTAAGTGATACATGACCGTATATCTAACAAGTTAAAAGAGGGGAAAAAATGAATAAAATAACATTTGATTAATCAACAAAAAAGTAAAACCAAAAAAAAGAGGGACATAGAGTAGGTGGACCAAATTAAAAACAAAGAGCAAGATAGTAACTGTAAATCTGTCTACTTAAGTAATTGCATTTAAGTGGATGAAATACTCCAAGTAAAAGATTTAGTTTTTCAGACTGGTTAAAGAACCAAAACTCTACTACATACAGCTTGCAAGAGACATACTGTGAGGATGGAAGAGGATATATAATACAAACACTGCACAATAATGCTGCTTTGAAATAGAGATTTTTTAATGAGAAAGAGTCAATCCAACAGAAAGGAATCACAGTCTTAAATGTGCATATTACATATAATATAACTTCAAAGAATATGAAGCAAAAATTGATATACATATAACAAATCTATAATTCTAATAGGATATATCAACACACACCCTTCAAGAGCTTATAGACAAGACAGACAACAAATTAGTAAGGATTTAGAAGATCTTAATACAGTGATGAATAAATGTGATCTAATTGTCATAAATAAAATGTTGCACCCAGCAAAAATAGAATGCACATTCTTTAAAATTCTCATGGAACATCAAAATAGATAATATGTTGAGTCCTAGAGAAAGCTTCTACAAATTTTACAATTGAAATTGCTCAGAGTATGTTCTCTGACCACAGTAGAATTAAACTTAAATTTAGTAACAGAGTTAACTGAGAAGTCTTGGACTGCCTGGAAATGAATGTACTTCTAAATATTTTATGTGTCAAAGAAGAAATTAAAATAGAAGTTAGAACATATTTCTAATGAAAATATATTTAAGAAATGACATGCTATTATTAAAATGATGCATCTTTACCCCAAAACATTTTAAATAGTTCAAAGAAAGCATAGCATATTTAGGCCTGATATTAGTAATTTTTGTGCAAATTGGAAATTGGAGGATATTTCTTTCTTTCTGGCTTGTTGATATACATGAAAGCTTGATATTTTTCCACAAAAAATTATATTAATGTGTTTTTGGGAAGAATGGTAAAATTAGGGTGTATATTTACCATCATGTTAAAAAAAAGTGAACTAAATCCAAAAGGTTTTTACTCAGTATGAATTGTCCTTATTATTTCAGTCTGAATAATAATCAGGCATTTTACCTAGATAAGTATCACAGCTTGATCTGTCAAAAGTTGTTTTCCCCCTTGTGTTCCTAAAAGCTTCAGTTCTCCAATTTCAGCATTTACTAAGTCACCTTGTCAAATACAGAGAAGTATCTGTTAGCAGATACTTTTTACTGGGTTGAAACAGATGGGCAATCTGCTTATGGTTATTTCTTAAGCACTCATTACAAATATGGCGGTGACTACTGCTGATGTGTTTCCATTTGAACTTTAAACGTTGGTGTTTCTTCTTGTTTGCTTCCTCCCCAGCTTTTCTCACCTCTCTTGTGGCTTGGCACATGAAGGATGTGGCTCATCAGATGATCCCATTGGAGGATGCTGCAAAGCTCCTCAGCAACTTGCTCAATATTCTTTTACTGAAGATACCATCCATCCTTAGGGCTCAAGTACAATTCTCTAAATCAGCACAGCCTTTAAGCTTTGAGATTAGCAGTGATTCTTCTCTGAGCTCTCAGTTTTGTCAGTTTGGTAGATTCTTCTTTAATTTTTGGCTGCTTTATAACCCCAACCCCTAGAAAACTCTTGTCAGGTATCTCGAAACATGCATTTTGCACAGTGTATTGCCACTTTTCTGCATTTCCAAACTTTTAAGAGTTACCCATTTCCTGTGTGTCAAAGTCCTAGTTCCTTATCCTGGCATTCACATATCTCTACATTACTTATTACCTATCTTTGCCTCTTTATCTTTCACTACCTTCTTACGTCGAACTTTCACATGATCAAATCTGATTCCCCAAATCCAAGCTCATTCTTTTTGTTGCCTTGTCCTTTCCCAACCTTGGATGCTGCTTGTCAGCTTGTTAAAAGCCTAGCTTCTCATAAGGCCTAGCTCAGTATGGAA